TATATATAGAAAGAAGATTTATAAAAATATATATATATATATATATATATATATATATATTATATACATATATTATATATAGAAAGATTAAAAATTGATAAAACAAATGATCTTGCATTGTCCTTGCTGACCGCATGCAACAAACAGTACAAAGTGATTCATAAGCAAATGACTCTTCTGAAGCGGTTAATGTTAATGAAATGGTCAAAAGGCTTACAAATCAGACTCAAACTCTTGAGTTACTATTTAATGTGGCTTTAATGCTAGTAAAATAAAAAATAACAAACATTAAAATAAGTTATCAAAATTTGTTTAGTAGTGTGTGTGTGTGTATATATATATATATATACACTAAACCAAAACAATTGTGATTATTTATTTATTTATTCCATATATAAGAAATATATATTACTTTCATTGGAATAATTTGGGGAAAAAAATACATAAACTATGAAAAATGGGCAAAGAGCTAAAGTAGCAGAGAGAAAGCTGCTCACCTCTCATTTCTTTTGTTTTTGTTTCGAGTAGTTTCCTGTCTTCCTCTGTTTCACTGGGGATCCCCTCATCATCATCCTTTTCTCTGTGAACACACGAGGCAAAAAAAACCCATTTCAATTTATACATTTCCTGGTCTTTTCTGAACAATACTATCCAACTACCCTTGCAATTTTACATTTTTAAATGTAAAAATTACATTTTCAAAATTAGTCACTAAAAAAAAGATAAATCATTTTTTTAATCTCTACTTTTTTAAGAGAATTTATTTTAAAACTATCACCAAAGCAAAAAATATTTTTTAAATCAGTATTATTTTTTTGTCTTTTGGTAAAATATCTAAATATCCATAAATCACGATGATCAAGATGACTGAAGGAGAAAAAAATTATTAAGACTATATTAAGACAACTGTTTCACAGAATATATCTTAATTTAACGAGGTTCATGCTTTAAATGAGAAAAAAGTTCGCTAATGATTTGTTAGATTTATGCTTGGCACAAGAAAAAAAATTGCATTAGAGCAAAAAAAAAGTCTCTGACTATTTCATGCAATTTTGCTTCTCAATCTTGTTTTTAAGCTTACAGTATAGATAGTGAATATCTGGTACTTACATTGAGTGCATGGCGTCCTGAATGAGCTGCATCCAGGTGTTACGTTCCTCTCGGGAACTGGCGTGAACCTCCACCATTTCAGGGTTTGCGATGCCGGCGGTGATGAGGAAGAGGCCGCGCTCCTCGTGGGCCACCTCTCGCACGATCAGCTTCTGCAGGGAGATAACAGTGGCTCGCTGGTCCTGTTGATGAGAAGAGGAAGCGTGATGCACCGAATGAGGAGGGCGGAGTGAAGGCCAAAGAATATGCAGAGAGAGGAAGAAAGGAAACAGAGTAGGAGATAAAAAAATCAGCTGACTGAACTGAACATCAACACTGTAGTGTAAAATGTGTCAGTGTATTCAGTCATCCGTTGTGTTTGCTAACCTGAAAAAAATCTCTAAACCCAAGTATTTAACTTAATGTAGCATTTGTGTTACGGATATCTAATTTAATCTAATCGTGCCTTGATGAGGAGGCCAGCTTTTCCTGTTATATTCCCATGATCAATTTTCCATTACACTATTTCTTCAGAAATTAAGTCAGATTAAATATGTATTCACTGCCAAATGCAAAGCTTAGGTCCATTTAGGAAGTTAATAATCAAAAATAACAGTGGATGATACTTTTGTTCTGACTGTATCATAGAGTGAGAAATTTCTGTTTTAAAAAAATAAATAAATAAACATGTTTGTAAAAACATCATGAACGAAGAATGCCATGAAGAATCATAATAGAAGGGCATTATTTAAAAAAATCTTAGCACTTTATAATAAGGTATCATTTGATAACATTAGTTAACTAAGAATGAACAGTACTTCTACAACATTTATTAATCTTAGGTCAGGTAAATTTCAACATAATTTCAATATATACTGTAGCGTCTGGACCAATCAAACACACAATATATATTTTGTTAGCTATATTTAACAAATACTCTGTAACACCCCTCAGTTAACAAGCCATATGAGGACCTATGGACCCTTCCACCGAAATGCGTAACACCCTAGGAAAGCCGAACAGGCCCCTGGTCCCCATGGCAACTAATGCTGATACCACTGGTTTTATGACCCAGAGGAATGTGAGCAGAGAGAAAATCACTGCATGTTCCATAGCAATGATTAATTATTCATATTTCCCCATGAGCTGATTCGCTACAATACTAATACATTTTTAAATACATTGTCAGTATGACACATAAAAAAAAACGTAACTTTAAACTGATATCTCATAAAAAAGATAGCACTGAAATCCAATCACTCACCAGAGACGCAAAAACATATTTCTGGTCTTTTTCTTGGAGGAACACAAAGACATCCGAAAGAAGAAGTGCATGGACATCTAAGGATTAAAAAAAACAGTAAACATTACATTCCAAAACATTACATTTTTATATTTAGAAGAACAACTAATAATGTAATACTATATACGTGGAAATATGCAATATTTTGTATGTACCTTTAAATTTGTATTTAATCTTATAACTTAGTGGAAATAAAATAAAAATTAACCCTAACCCTAAAATAAAATTAAATTAAAAATTAAAGTAAATTAAAGTAACGTAAAGTAAAATATAATAAAATATTTAACATTGGTGACTTTGTCCTCTGTGATTATTAAAATTATAATTCAGTATTAACTTTCTGTTGCTTTAATTACTGACTGCTAGCTAAATGGTTTATTCACCTTTTCCTTCAAAAAGTGAAAAATGTCATTACAATCACACATCATTACTGACACTCACTCTCAAAAACCTCACTTGGAGGCTGATTTCAGCACATGGGATCTTTAAGACATTTAATTTTTTCGAAATGGAAGAATCACCCATTTATAAAAGTTGCAAGAGGTGGACAGTTTTCTCTTCTATCCACTGCTGAAGAAATAAGATCTATCAAGATTTACGGTTAGAAGAGTACACTGTAAAAAATATTCCGTAAAATTTACGGTAAAAAACTGGCAGCTGTGGTTGCCGGAAATTTACAGTAAAAAATACGGTAGCAACGTTTTAGGTTTTACGGTTATAACTTAAATTTACAGTTAAATACCGTAATTTCATTAACTGATATAATGTTAATATACCAACCTATTGAAGTACTGAAATCTGTTTTGTACCTTTGTAATACACTGATAACCACCAAATGCAGGTGGTGATGAGAAAGTCACATGATGAACCAAAGCCCATCAAAAGCAGCTTTTAAATAATAACATGTATAGAAGGTGCACAGTGTCATTCACACAAATGCTAAACACCATCATGGTAACACACATGAAACTGAAATAATGCAATAAACATTCATTTAACAACATTAGGTGTAACACACAACCCTAATATACAAAACTGATAAGAAAAAACTAAGAAGAAACATAGTTATTTCAACAAAAAAACATCAAATTTGAAATGTAATGCATGGAATTCTGGGAATGTCAATTTACGGTTATTCACTGTAAATTATACGGTCTTTTTCACTTCCAAAAACGGTATACTACCGTAAAATTAATGTCCAGTACATGTAATGTCCAATACAGTTTTTCACCGTATACAGTAGGGGAATTTACCGTTAACCATTTAACAGGTTTTTACTGTAGCATTTTTACAGTCTTTTACCGTTAAATTCACGGTCATTTTTTACAGTGTAGAGAGTTTTACCCTTCAGTCGTCCGGCAGCGTTTTTCAGCTGGAGAGGACCATCATGGAGAAGCCTGCGACTGCGCAGCAGATCCTCTCGGGCGAACATCTGGCCGCTCTTCATGCGCGTGATGGACTTGCTGTCCGTACGGCCGTAAATGTCTTTTAACCTTTTCTTCTTCTCATGCTCATTCACTTTACTGTCCACTGAAGCAATGATATCTTTCACCAACTGTAGCGCCTGTGTCAAGTCCTCAAAATCCTTCTCGTTCTCTGCACAAGCACACACACAGGTTTATACGAAATTCAGTTGTAATAAATTCCTATAAACAATAAACCAGTCCATTTTGTTTCATTATAGTATTAGAGTGGCAGAATCAAATCCTCTTGAGAGCTATAAGCTCCTTCTCAAATTGCCCCTGAAAGGATATTTGTTATACTTGACACTCTTAATTCACTTTAAAATCTCTTTGTTGGGAACGTGACCAAAAAGCCTTTCAGACTGGCTGTGCAACAGTTGGAAGTGATTTGCAGTAAATGTGGAATGTTTACACGCTGCGTCTCATGTGTGCAGCAGAGGGCCCATCCATGTTTACTGAGAGTGAAATATTGGAGCGCTATTTAAACACTGACGGCACCTTCTAAAGTGGCCAGTGATGACACAATCTATCAAATGCAGTACCCGCAAAAAAAAAATTGCATTTTCTTTTTAAAAACTGACACTATTGTGAATGATTATTACAATTTGAAATATTTGAAATAATTGTTTTCTATTTTAATATTAAAATATTATGGTTTTATATTTAGAAGAACAAATAAATAAGCAAAAAATATTTATGTAGACGTGAGCAATGTTTTGTATGTACCTTTGATGGAAATTTGTAATTTATTCTTATGACTTGGTAGTAAAAATAAAATAATACAAATAAAATTTAAATTTAAATTTTTACATGAGTGGTTTTACCCACTCTTATGATTTATTTTTAAATGTGATTATAAATATTTATTTTCAAATGTAATTTATTCCTGTGAAGCAAAGCTGAATTTTCAGCATCATCACTCCAGTCTTCAGTGTCACATGACCCTTCAGAAATCATTCTAATATGCTGATTTAGTGCTCGAGAAACATTTTCGATTATTATCAATGTTGAAAACAGTTTCTTTGTTTAACAGAAAGCTCAAAAGAATAGCATTTATTTGATTCTGAAATCTTTTGTAAGATTATAAATGTCTTTACGGTCACTTTTGATCAATTTAATGCATCATTGCCGAATAAAATAATTTCATTAAAAAAAAAAAAAAATCTAACCTACCCCAAACTTTTGAATGGTAGTGTAAACTTTTTTTTTTTTTTGGTTTATTTATTGAACAACTATTGGGAATGAGGGGTGGAATGGGACTGGATCACATGGGTCACAAAGTGAATTAGAGCGCCCACAAAATATGCATTTTCTGCTAGAATAACAATTTAGCCCAAACACTACTGCTAAGAATTGACTGATTGATTTCTTAAAAAAAAAAGATTTAAGACTAAATTGCTTTGTGGTCGCCTTCATACCAGACCAGAAGATGCTAGAACCCCTGACAGCTCCTGACTGAAACCAATCAGAGTAAATCTCACCTTTGGTGTGCAGCAGGATTCGCTGTAAAAGCACCGGGTACTTCGTTATCCTCTGAGTCACCAGTAATATGCACTCTGGGATGCCCAAACGCCGGACAACACTGCTGCTCATTTTTTTCTGGAAACAAGAGCACATTGAGGACTGTTAGGCATCTCTGTGCATTTAATGGGAAGAATGAGCAACATAATAAAGTGCAGCATTTACTCTGATGAATGCCTGGAAGCGTCTGTCTCTGGAATGCAGCTCCTTGTAGAAGTTCACTGCTTCACTGTGTCGACTACAAAACTTGCCATAGATTTTCTTCATGCTTTCTGCATTGGAGTCTGAGAACTGAAGCACATCATGTGGCATAAATCAATACAGGAGCTAGGATATGAACAAGGAATCTGCTGTCTAAGTCAAGTTGACATCTGCACGTCATACTCACCAAGACGCCTTTATATGCTAATAAGTTATCATTTAATGCAATGCAATGCAACATTAGTACACACAAAGGAGTAATGTAGTAGAGCAGCGATTCCCAAAGTTTTTTTTCAGCCAAACCCCTTTGATCTAAAATATTTACTCGAAGTATCCTCTCAGATTTTAAGTTAACATTTTAATAATTTAACAACACATTTGCCCATTCCCAGTTCTTTGATGTTGGTTAATGGTCATGATGGTAAGCAGATAAAATATTTAATCTGTTAAAAAAATAAAAATATTTGTATTTTATAATAAACATTTTTATTATGTATTAATTATTTATTATTTTTACATTACATTTTAAGGATGTAATTAATTTTTGGCTTTGAGGAACTGAGAAACGCTTTAAAATAATAAATACATATTTTTTGTTTTCATACATTAAACTTGCCATAATAACGTCTGCAATTTCTACTAAATTGTATGAGTTTTCAGAGTTTCAACTCCATTAGTAAGCAAACTGAAGTGCAATGAACATATCACTGCGGGATATAATTATTGGACAATTTTTACTTTTAAGGCAGCAAGTAACTTAAATATAAAAAAAAAATAAACTTAAATATAAAATTTTAGACATTTAAATTTTCTATATTGTTTACTATATATAATATATATAGCAATATAGGATAGCATAACAGTGTCATACAGAACAGTATATCATCTAAAATAGTATGGTGAGGTGCTTCAAAACTGGTTTTGCTACAGAATCCAAGTTTTACATTTAAGTAGCAACCCAACACAAGAAAGTCCTTGAATTCAAACACAGAAATGCATTTATATATATATATATATAAAATCAAACATCCTCACCTGGCTGAGCAGCACATCTCCTATCCTGTTGATTATGAATCCGTCCGTTCCTTCCAGCTTGGCTTCTTTCTTCCTCTCCAGCAGAGTGTTGAAGAAGAATGAATGGAGTTCCAGGAGCTCGTCCAGCATGGGGAACATCTTCTCCACCATCTGGACCTCCAGCTGGAGATCTGTCAGCACGCCCTTACAGTACACATCAGACATGATCCGTAACGTCCGCAGGTGATGCATCTCCGTCTGGATCAGCTCTGGATTGATAAAGGAACAGGATGTTTAGATCCAGACATCTGGAAGAGCAGCAGTTAGCATGCTTATTGCTTTTGGGCCAGTGAAAGGAGATATAGACTCTTTGAAAAGAAAGAGATTCCCATGTGTAAGTTGCCAACTACTTCTGAACTATTATCTTCAACTGTAAACATCTACTTTAAATGAACCGAAGTTCGTTTTTTGTTACTTTTTACCTATTGTTAATCAGAGGAACTAAGAGCAACTACACTGTATTAGCAACCAGCTTTAGGACGTTAGGTAATAAACTTATGGAAAAGTTTCATTAAGTCCAAAAGAATTATGATTTATGCTTGTGGATCAAAGTTCAACAAGCTATCATACTGAAGTTACAGTTAGTGTTAATATTGTAATATTATACAATATTGAAGTTCAATTTTATTATTTTGCCAGACTTTTCAACTAATCAATTTAACTTTGTTTAACTTTTACATTTAGATGCAACCTTTAAAATAGAGTTTGTCTGACAAAATGGAAGTTGGATGATTAAACACTGAGGTGAACACTTTCACATGCAAAAAAAAGGAGTGCAGCAGTGTTATTTTAGTATCAGATACTATTATAGTTTATTATTTTGAATAACTAAGTTTTTACTTTAAATTTAAGTTTTAGTAATTTTGTTGTTTTTTATTGGTTATTGTTTTTATCTTCAATCATCAAGTTAAACTAAATGAAAATGAGAAATGTTGCTTAAATTGGCAACTAGCTGAAATAAAATAAGCTTAAGTTTTTTTATATTTTATTTCAGTTCATTTTTTGCGGTTTTAGCTAACTATAATAACCCTGGTTAGCATTTTGCATTCATTTTTTTTGTCATATTTAGTGAATAAAAACTCCCAGAACAGCAAATGCTTATAAACAAAGAAATGGAAATGCATTAAATTCTACCATAGATGACGTCTTGTCTCTTAATGGCGTCCTTCTTGAGTTGCTTCAGATATTTCTTATCTACGGTAATGCTCCAGGAGTCAGCCTCCAGTTCCTTAACATCTGCTTCAAACTCTCCCATCAGCCGGCTGTCAACCATCACAGTTCCTATCAGGGATGCAACAATACATTTAGCCCATGGTTCAATACATATCTCGGTTTTTTTAACCACGGTTTCCGGTTCGGTTTGGATTTTTGAGTGTTTTTTTTGTTATTCTATGCTTAGGCGACAGGAGCAGTAAGAGGTTAAGGAGAAAAAATGTATTTTTTATTGCAATGCTCTTTCTTTATTTTACTTTCTTTAATAAAATTCCACTTGTACACAATCCTAGTGTACTGTATAATATAAATACAATAAATAGACGGTAGTAGGCACTGATCTTAATTTTTCATGGCCAATTCCAATTGACAATTTTTTTATTTGTATGTTTTTTTTTATTGATTTTATTTATTTATTTAAGAAAGATTCAAGAAAGACTGAAAATAGGAGTAGCTCTGTTACAGGCCATCTGTAAAAATTATAAAATAAAACTAGAGGCGACCATGGCATTTTAATCACGATCCAAACAAAGATGCTACACACATTAAGCATGAGCACATTTTGATTTAAATTAGATTGAATAACTTCAAAATCTGAAAAAAAAAAACTGAATGGTCTGACTTTAGCTTTGTGAAACTATGCTAAATAAAGCAATTGAACGAAACAAAACAGAGACGGACTGAATGAGATGCAAATTCACTCTCTGACCGCAGGTGGCGCTTATGGAGCAGCAGTTATACAGTGTTTCCTTGGTTGTTGCTGTTAACAAAGCAGCGCAGTGCTTATAAACACTACTTTAATATGCCTTATATAGAGACGAGATGAAAAGAAAATACAATTTAAACTTTTCTGAAGACTTAGAAATACATTTATATAAAACCCAATTCAATATTTAGGATTTTCTTCCAATATTTCGTGCATCATGAGCAGTGAGGTAGCTCAATCTGCTACAGTATTTTCTCCTCTTTGCATTCGTCTTCAGCGTCTCTGGTCTCTGTTAACAGTCGTTTACAGACCTCGTAACATTTCCAAACAAATGACATTTTGGGAAATTATCACAATGCAGTTTGTGCAAGTCAGAGATCGGCCAAAATAAAACAAAAAAAGAAATAAAACGCACAGAAATTATTTAAACGCAAAACCGAGCACGTATTGAATCGTGGATGTCGTACCGAACGGTTCAATATTATATTGAGAATTGTGGCATCCCTAGTTCCTATAGCGACAACGACATTTTTATTCATATATTACTAGAAAAACCTGTGTGAATAATAATAATAAAAGAAACATTTACACAACTTTAAAAAGCCATTTAATTAATAGAGAAAGTGAGGAATGGCAGGAAATAACAGAGTGGACAATAAAAGGGCAAAACACTTAGCATTTTGCATTCATTTTTTTTGTCATATTTAGTGAATAAAAACTCCCAGAACAGCAAATGCTTATAAACAAAGAAATGGAAATGCATTAAATTCTACCATAGATGACGTCTTGTCTCTTAATGGCGTCCTTCTTGAGTTGCTTCAGATATTTCTTATCTACGGTAATGCTCCAGGAGTCAGCCTCCAGTTCCTTAACATCTGCTTCAAACTCTCCCATCAGCCGGCTGTCAACCATCACAGTTCCTATCAGGGATGCAACAATACATTTAGCCCATGGTTCAATACATATCTCGGTTTTTTTAACCACGGTTTCCGGTTCGGTTTGGATTTTTGAGTGTTTTTTTTGTTATTCTATGCTTAGGCGACAGGAGCAGTAAGAGGTTAAGGAGAAAAAATGTATTTTTTATTGCAATGCTCTTTCTTTATTTTACTTTCTTTAATAAAATTCCACTTGTACACAATCCTAGTGTACTGTATAATATAAATACAATAAATAGACGGTAGTAGGCACTGATCTTAATTTTTCATGGCCAATTCCAATTGACAATTTTTTTATTTGTATGTTTTTTTTTATTGATTTTATTTATTTATTTAAGAAAGATTCAAGAAAGACTGAAAATAGGAGTAGCTCTGTTACAGGCCATCTGTAAAAATTATAAAATAAAACTAGAGGCGACCATGGCATTTTAATCACGATCCAAACAAAGATGCTACACACATTAAGCATGAGCACATTTTGATTTAAATTAGATTTAATAACTTCAAAATCTGAAAAAAAAAAACTGAATGGTCTGACTTTAGCTTTGTGAAACTATGCTAAATAAAGCAATTGAACGAAACAAAACAGAGACGGACTGAATGAGATGCAAATTCACTCTCTGACCGCAGGTGGCGCTTATGGAGCAGCAGTTATACAGTGTTTCCTTGGTTGTTGCTGTTAACAAAGCAGCGCAGTGCTTATAAACACTACTTTAATATGCCTTATATAGAGACGAGATGAAAAGAAAATACAATTTAAACTTTTCTGAAGACTTAGAAATACATTTATATAAAACCCAATTCAATATTTAGGATTTTCTTCCAATATTTCGTGCATCATGAGCAGTGAGGTAGCTCAATCTGCTACAGTATTTTCTCCTCTTTGCATTCGTCTTCAGCGTCTCTGGTCTCTGTTAACAGTCGTTTACGGACCTCGTAACATTTCCAAACAAATGACATTTTGGGAAATTATCACAATGCAGTTTGTGCAAGTCAGAGATCGGCCAAAATAAAACAAAAAAGAAATAAAACGCACAGAAATTATTTAAACGCAAAACCGAGCACGTATTGAATCGTGGATGTCGTACCGAACGGTTCAATATTATATTGAGAATTGTGGCATCCCTAGTTCCTATAGCGACAACGACATTTTTATTCATATATTACTAGAAAAACCTGTGTGAATAATAATAATAAAAGAAACATTTACACAACTTTAAAAAGCCATTTAATTAATAGTGAAAGTGAGGAATGACAGGAAATAACTGAGTGGACAAGAAAAGGACAAAACACAGGCTAGATTCAAAACGAGCACCACACACACGCACAAACCATGAAGCCACAGCTCTGACAATTAATTACTTGTTCACTCTCCCCTAAAAGATCTCAGCTTGAAAGCAAGAAATTGCATCTGGTATTATACTGGAAAAAAATATGGCTGCTTACCTTCATCTAGAGACTCATTGGACGCTGTAACCTTGTTGGGTTTGTGGAGAGAGTCTGTGGATTGAGACAGATACCGCATGCCTCTCAGAGGCACATCGTCAAACCTACAGGAAGAGGATGAGGTGGTGTGGTTAGGACAGAAGGCCAGTAAAGTCAAGTGCCCTAAAGACAGATTCACTGAAGATTCTGTTCATTTGTATGTTGGGAATGGCATACTACCACACTACTCCTGCTAAGAATGCAGCACTCATGCTGTGCACTGCATGAAAACTGTCTATATGCACTGAACACCTATATAACTTATTATATTTGTCCAAATGTGTAGAATATTAAGGACACTTGTGTGCTTCATACCATATCCCACAATGGAATAAGCTTAACTTGATCTTTTTATTAGGAATATAATGTCTACAAATGTCTACTTAGTGGCTTAATTGATTGAACTCCAATAAGTTAGGAAGTTTCAACCCAAACTTCAGTTCAGTCACACTTCAGTTTGGGGACCAATTCTCACTATTAAATAACTATTAACTCTATGACTTTTGCCTCAAACTCCTGGTTACTGCTTATTAATAGTTAATAAGGTAGTTGTTGAGTTTAGATATTGTGTAGGATTAGGGATGTAGAATATGGTCATGCAGAATATGTGCTTTATTTGTACTAATAAACAGCAAATATGCTAGTAATATGCATGCTACTAAGCAACTGGTTAATAGTCAGAATTGGTCCCCAAACCGAAGTAATGTAGCATGTTAATGATAATTTATTATACTGTACAGTTTCACACGCATCTTTTCTAAATAGTTGGCAGGAAACAGTATATTCTGTGCAGTGTTCATTTAGTATCATTATATACTATTATAGTATTTATTTAGATTTTGAATTAGCATTTATTTTTAGTTTTATATTTTCATATTTTTCATTTTTTTAATATATTTTGAGTAATTTTAGTTAAGTTTAGTTTAGTTTTAGTTAAGTTTGAGTCATTTTACTTAATACTTTAATTGGTTGCCAAGACAACATTTCTTAAAAACATAAATACATATTACTTTTTTTAATTTTATTTCAGCTATATTTAACTAGATTTACTTCAAATAGAATGATTTTTAATAGTTGTAGTTTGAGTTAACGATTACGAACATATTCAGTAACTACATTCTCAGTTAAAACCGGAGAATACTTGTTGGTATAAGTGTTTAGGCACTAACATTGGAATATTGTTGATGGACATGCTTTTCGAGAGGTTGCTGCTGTGGAAGGGCATAATACTGGTGGGTCGTCTGGACGGGACAATCACAGAATGTTCCTCTGGAGAAAAGATAGCAGACCAGGGCCGTTCCCGCATTGTGGACGCTACACAAAAAAATAAAATAAAAATAACAATTCACATGCAACATTAAGATCAGCTGACATTAAAAAAAAAGACTATACAAAGAGAAACAAAACCAACAAACCCACATTTTGTTCGTAGAGTGACGGTAGGCATATTGGTGGACTCTGGTACAGCAAACTGTTGTTTATGTAACAGAAAAAAGGAAGAGATTTTAAACAGAAGACAAGGCAAACACCTTTCTTGACGTGTAACTGAAAGAATATGGTACATTTTAGAATAAAATACTCATTCATACCTTCATTCTGCTTTTGGGACAAACTGGGATGTTTTCTCTACAACTCTTGTGAACTCTCACATTGCAATCTGCATAAAAACACGTCAATAGAAAATAGAAAAGTACTCGTTTGCAATTCACTACTTTGATAAAGATGCTATATTGCAGATGCTGTAAGCGTTACCGTATTATATTTCAGTTTGCTACCCAAGCATAAACACAGCTTTTTCTCTTTGCAGAGATTTCACCTCTATGACCAAACACAAGGGTTTGCTGTAGTTGGAAGTCCTTGTGTTTGCTATTCTGGCTCATGGTCAAAGTGGTAAAGACAGTTGGGCTTAGGCTTAGGAATTCCTTCCAGTCAGGAAACTCCACCAAGCACACAAATTAAATCCCACGAACATGCCAACAAGCTCTAGAAACACACTTCTGTCTTGAGCAAGAATCTAACCATAAGTCTTCAGATGCTTCCTGGAGAAAATACAGTATTCATAAACAGAACAACACTTTCAAACCCCATGAGAGAACTAATTATATGTGATCGGAATTAACTAAACCGTATATTTTCCTTATTTATTATTTATACTGGTCATAAAAATATATTAAAATAATTGCCTTTACTGTATATTATTTTCTTATTTTCAATTATTATTATTTTTGAATTTATTGTATTATTTATTATTTTTATATAGATATATTGGTTGGTCTATAAGGCTATGGACAGATGCTAAAATAAATTCAATGAGAACTTACAGGACATTTATACACGTAAATATGAATATGCGATTAAAATATGAAACAAACAAAGAGGGGGAAAAGGACTAAAACAATAGAACAAAGACTTCTCCCTGAATGAATAAGATTTTCTCTTCAGCAGCTCCATGAGGAAGTGAATGATGTTACCAGAACTGCTTCCTATTTTTAAGCAATGAGTCTTTTGAAATACATGACACAATAGTTCAGACATCTTTAAAACCCCCTTCACTTAGAATTTTTTTTTTCCTATTCTACTTTCATACTAATTAGTAAAAAATAATTTGTATTATATATGTGTACTGCACATACTACACATTATTCTGCTATTTTTCCTATTTGTGACCCTGGAGCACTAAACCAGTCTTAAGTCGCTGGGGTATATTTGTAGCAATAGCCAAAAATACATTGTATGGGTCAAAATGATCGATTTTTCTTTTATGCCAAAAATCATTAGGATATTAAGTAAAGATCATGTTCCATGAAGATATTTTGTAAATTTCCTACCATAAATATATCAAAACTTAATTTTTGATTAGTAATATGCATTGCTAAGAACTTCATTTGGACAACTTTAAAGGCGATTTTCTCAATATTTAGATTTTTTTGCACCCTCAGATTCCAGATTTTCAAACAGTTGTATCTCGGCCAAATATTGTCCTACAAACCATACATCAATGGAAAGCTTATTTATTCAGCTTTCAGATGATGTATAAATCTCAATTTCGAAAAAAATGATGCCGCAATTATGACAGGGTCACATTTATCATTGCTTTGACACAATCTGTATTGTAAAAAGCACTGTACAAATAAAGGTAATAAACGATTCTACTACAGTTTCTGTGAATACTCGATGTCTTTTCATGTGAAATCCAGTATAAGGGAGTAAATAACTCAAATGGGGTTAATACCAGTGGTACAATGATAAACAGCTTCTTACTTGTGCAGCTGACAGTATCTTTAGTGTTGAGGGTTTTGTTGCATTGCTGGCACAAAGCTGGATGCAGCAAGCTTGACGTGCTGAACACGTGTCCATTCACTGATTTCTTCTCTCTCTCTTTGGCCTCTCGGTCTTTCTCCCGATTCTTTTCCTTTTCTTTTTCCTGTGCCAGAAAAGGAATAAGAAATATTACAACAGGCGACAGCTGTTAAGATTAGTGCTCAAATATGCCAAGCACCGTAATGGCCCATCGTAGCTACTTTAGTTTAAACCCATTAACTTGAATTGCTCATCGTTTTCTTTAATAGCATTTCTGCAAAGTAATTTTCTGCACCAACCTGTCGTCACGTTCCAAAACAAGGTACTTGTTTGCCATTACTCAAATTTACAGGACAACATTTTAAAGGATGAGCACCCCAGACACACAAAAGGACCTTAGTTGGCAGCCCTATTATCCACAGCTGACAACAACCCTGCTCGTTTGTATGATATAGTAAAAAATGAAAAAAGGTGCAATGTCATTTCAAACTGAGGGCATTTTCATTGTGATTCAGACAGTTGTGCGCAAACATCCTCTCAATTGTTGTCAAGTTCTCCTGTAACAAAGTTCAGCTTCCTACTTATTAAAACAAGCCTCAAGTTAAAGGGTTAGTTCACCCAAAAATGAAAATTCTGTCATTAATTACTCACCCTCGTGTTGTTCCAAACCCGTAAGACCTTCGTTCATCTTCGGAACGCAATTTAAGATATTTTTGATGAAATATGAGGGCTCTCTGACCCTCCCATAGACAGCAAGGTAACTACCACGTTTACTTTTTCATTCAAGGTCCAGAAAAGTACCAAGATGATCGACAAAGTAGTCCGTGTGACATCAGTGGTTCAACTGTAAAGTTACGAAGCTATGAGAATACTTTTTTGCGCCGCCACAAGCTCGCGCCATGGTACTGTCGTGAACGCGCGTCCAAAGTGACGTAGTAGAGATGAAAATGCGGAATAAAGTAGTTGTTTTCTTTGCGCAAAAAAGTATCCTCGTAGCTTCGTAACTTTACAGTTGAACCACTGATGTCACACGGACTACTTTGTCGATCATCTTGGTACTTTTCTGGACCTTGATCATGGTAGTTACCTTGCTGTCTATGGGAGGGTCAGAGAGCCCTCATATTTCATCCAAAATATCTTAAATTGTGTTCCGAAGATGAACGAAGGTCTTACGGGTTTGGAACAACACGAGGGTGAGTAATTAATGACAGCATTTTCATTTTTGGGTGAACTAACCCTTTAAGCAACTGTATAGAAACAACCATTTTGGCAATAAAAATCTAAAGTAACAAATACCATCTGGTTTATTCTAAACTTGAAATATTCACTTAAATTACACACAGTTGAAGCAGCATAAATAAAAACTACCGTCAATAATGTGTCAGTTGTGGATGAAATGCACTAAAAAGACAATCACTATGACAAATAAACAGTGAGCAAGTCACTGTTAGGCAACTAAGGAGTTAACCATTTCAGAAAATGTGAACACCTAGAAGTGTGAAGAGAGAAAAAAACACACAAGACAAACCACAACAAAAAGTCAACGGGGCAAATCATCGCTCAGTGACTGAGATTCGGCCTACCTCTTCTCCCTTCAAGGTCCTTATCATCTGATAGCGGCCCTGCACCTCGCAAAACTTTCTATATAACATTACTGTAGGAGCCAGAGCCTTTGCAAGACTCTCGACCGAGACCAGAAGTTCAGCATCACCTCAGATTCAGGAGGAAGCGATCCAACTCGAGCTGGGAGGTGCTGTGACTCTTACTTCCTTTTTATTACACTGCCGTCGCTGGTCTAAGAACGGCAAAGTGCTGATGAAATCTGTATGATTTTTTTTTTTGTAAAAACACCCTTATCTAATCATTTATAGCCAATAGATGAAAGCCTTTCAGGGTATAAATTGAATGTTTAAAGTGTATTTAACTCCAAAATTCCTGTATGTAGCAGATTAATTCATTTTAATGCTTCGTTTTACACATTTTATATAGCACAAAATGTGAAAACGTGAAACTAGGCCAATAGGCCTTGAAATTAGAGTGCTGAATGACTTTTGGGAAGTTTAGAGTATTAATAGGAGGTCAATTCAGAAATGATATATGTAAAGTAGCCTAAACATATATACAGTGGGTACGGAAAGTATTCAGACCCCCTTCAATTTTTCACTCTTTGTTATATTGCAGCCATTTGCTAAAATCATTTAAGTTAATTTTTTTTCCTCATTAATGTACACACAGCACCCCATATTGACAGAAAAACACAGAATCGTTGACATTTTTGCAGATTTATTAAAAAAGAAAAACTGAAATATCACATGGTCCTAAGTATTCAGACCCTTTGCTCAGTATTTAGTAGAAGCACCCTTTTGATCTAATACAGCCATGAGTCTTTTTGGGAAAGATGCAACAAGTTTTTCACACCTGGATTTGGGGATCCTCTGCCATTCCTCCTTGCAGATCCTCTCCAGTTCTGTCAGGTTGGATGGTAAACGTTGGTGGACAGCCATTTTTAGGCCTCTCCAGAGATGCTCAATTGGGTTTAAGTCAGGGCTCTGGCTGGGCCATTCAAGAACAGTCACAGATATGAAGCCACTCCTTCGTTATTTTAGCTCTGTGCTTAGGGTCATTGTCCTGTTGGAAGGTGAACCTTCCACCCAGTCTGAGGTTCTGAATGCTCTAGACTGGGTTTTCATTAAGGCTATCTCTGTATTTTGCTGCACTGAGCGTTTCTTCTACTCTAACGAGTCCCTCAGTCCCTGCTGCTGAAAAATAGCCCCACAGCATGAGGCTGCTACCAGCACACTTTACTTTTGGGATGGTACTCTGCAGGTGATGAGCGGAGCTGGTTTCCTTCAAATATGAAGCTTGGAATTGAGGTTCATCGGACCAGAGAATCTTGTTTCTCAGAGTCTGAGGGTCCTTTAGGTGCTTTTTTGGAAATTCCAAGTGTGTTTTCATGCGTCTTAACTGAAGAGAGGATTGAGTCTGGCCACTCCGACATAAAGACTGGATTGGTGGAGTGTTGCAGCGATGTTTGTCCTTCTCTAGGTTTCTCCTATCTCCACATATAATCATGGAGATCAACTAGTGTGACCATCAGGTTCTTGGTCACCACTATAACCAAAGACCTTCTCCATCAATTGCTCAGTTTGGCCAGGAGGCCAGCTCTAGGAAGAGTCCTGGTCGTCCCAAACGTCTTCCATTTAAGGATTATGGAG